TATCTACCCAAGAAATAAATTAAGAACTAGAAATGGAGAGAAACAAATACCGATCAACTGTAGATATTCTATAGATGGTCTCAGCATCAGACTTGGCTCACTTCCCACCACCTTTCTCTGCAGCTAAGCCGTCTCTTAGATACTCTAACTTTGCAATTAAAGAACATTGGAAAACATGGCCATACATTTTCACTGCTGGCCTTAAACAGAGCCTTTGGCAACCCGAAGAGTTAATGTCCCCCTTTCAGTACCTACCTAACACCAGAGAATGACTGAATGGGATAGAGACGTGTACTGTAGCAAACTCCCTTTCTGTTTTATTCTCTTCCAAGTACTTGGTAGGAAGGGAACGTTCTAAAATAGTAACATGAATTGACAGGTGGAAGTCACCATGCTCAAGTTACAGATCCAAGTTTGGATAGCATTAAGTTTACCCTTTTTCCTTTTTCTTTTTTTTTTTAAACATATTAAGATCTTGAGAAATTTATTTGAAAGATATGCAGAAAACATATAACCAGGTTTAAGTCAGAAACAGGCAGAAATTACATAATTAAAAGTAGGTACATTTTTACTTACATGAATAAAAATCTTAAATAAATATACACACACACACACATTCCTATGTCAAGTCCAATTGGCAAACTGTTAAAAGAATGCCATCTGGGAACCTGGTTCCTAAGAAATGACTTCAGTATTGCTGCAAAATCAAACACCCTTTGGAAGCTTTAGAGAACAGTTAAATCCTTAAAATATCATTCTGAGCCTTCTTTAGTCTCACAAGAGAAACATGTTAACACTAATGTTGCCTCCGACTACTGTTCCTTTGGCAACTAGCATGTGTAAAAAAAAAAAAATGTTTCTTCATTTCTGTACCCTCCACTTGATAAATAGATCTTTTTTAAAAACTCAGTCAATATCAGCAGTTAAAGCTACATCTTAAACCTAAAATATTAATACCCTAAATCATGAACGAGTACATCTGTACTACAAAATAATTTTTCTTTGCATGACTGAAATACTGTGGTCAAAAGCATTACCATCCTGTAATTGTATTTTGAACAGAATGTATCTAAGGAAGTGCTAAAAACTAGATTGGAATGATAAGTGGGTAGAAAGAAAAAACATATGTAGAAAGGAAAATTTAAAAATTAAAAAAACATGTTTATAATCTGTTCAAATTCTCAGCTTAAAATTTTCAGTATCTAATTGGTTAGAGCAATAGTTTAGATACAGGGCTTAGTTTCGGAGCCAAGTTGCTAGACAAATAAAATTAAAGCCTGTCATATTCAACCCTACCTTTCTGCCAACTTCCATTCTTCCAATACAGGACCTCTGGGCTACTCTGATGAGTTGCTTTCTACAACATGCAATTGCTTTGTGCCTCTTAGTAACGTGCAGCCACCACAAAGACCATGACATTTGCTGCACGAGCTCTCCAGTGTGCTGTGGCATGGCGTTGTGGTCACCGGGCTTGCCCTCACACAGGCTGTTAACAGAAGGTGCAGGCAGAGACCTATGGGAGTCACACCACCTCTTCTCTGTGGATTGGGTAGTGTTTCTGAGTTCAGTGAATATTTAATTTAATATAGTTAATAATAATAATGCACTTATTCATTGGTACAGAAGATGAATTTCATGGCCTCTGTTAATATCTGGATGTAAACATCTCGGTAATCAACTAGGATAAGTTCAACTTCAATGTTTCACTCATGGAGGCTGAGTCACAAATTTGACTATTTAGCCTTTGGGGAAGAGAAGTAGTAAAGATGGATCCTATCCATTAAAGTCAGGAATATCAAAATGAAAAGTATCAACTGACTTTTGAACATATGCAGTCTCAAAGTCAATGGAGTAAATTCAAACATGCTTGGAAAAATTCAAACTATATCCTGCAAGAAGTAAAATAATTCAGTCAGAAAATTAGACCACATGTTAACTTGTATAATTTTGGAAATATACAGAGTCCCCTAGTTCTGTTTGACTGGTGAAAGGTTATTACTGAAAATTAAGTATCTCAAGTTGCTGGAAAATAAGGTTTTGTACTTAGGTTCTGGATGATTGACATTATTCAATAGCAGAGGCTCTTTAAATCCATTGCTTCTGCTCCTGCTACTCGTTCTTAAGACACACCACCATCCTAGGCTCCGTACGCCATCTATGCTTTTATCACTGCTGCCCACTGACGAAAACTACCTCCCATTTGCCAACATGGAGGGTATACGCTGCACTTTCTTATTTGCACTCAGTGTGTCACACAAACATGTATCTCAGATGGCACTTGCAGCAAGACCAACAACAGGTCTATGAATTAATTCAGTCTTAGAGGCTACATATTGATAAAGCATTTAAAATAACCAAATAGTTTGCCACATTCTTTGCTAATTTTAATGTATACAGATGAGCAAAATAAAGCCAAAATACTCATACATAACTGCACACTCGAATTATAGTAAGCCTTCCCTTTTAAATGGACAAATATACTAACAGGGAAACATGGAAATGACGTGTTAGTAAGTAAAAAGTTAAGATTTTAGCAGAATGTCAAAATCTGTCAGTCAGTATCCTTTGTTTCACATGCTTATCCTGCTGGCAGGCTAGAAATAAGTAAGGAATTCTAAGTTTCGGTTTCTCAACCTTAGCACTACTGATATTTGGGATCAGAAAATTCTTTGTGATGGCGACTATCCTGTTTATTAAAGAAGATATAGCAGCTTCCCTGACACACTAAATGCCAGTGGCACGCCCACCCCAGCTATGTCAACCCAAAGTATCTCCAGGTATTGCCAAGTGTCTCATCGCGGCCAAAACTGCCCCCGGTTGAGAACCATCAGTCTAACCAACACCAACTCATTGAATCTACAATAAGGATAGGACAGGGTTTGATCTATAGGAGTCTCCACATTACATAAGAACAAAAACTAAAAAGACATACATTCCTATTTAGCAAGCACTCATTTGCTTTCCTTTATATCTGATTTCTTTTGATAAGAATACTATCTCACTCACTACTTGACTTGGAGTGGATGGGTCCTGGAAAAGCAGTTTCCCAATAAAAAAATAAAAGAATACTCTCTCAGAGCGTAAGAGCTGTGTGGCCACCAGTTTTAACACCCCTTCCTCATGGCTCAAACCCCCTCAATTCCGCTGCAGCTGACCCAGGGGGGACCCTGTGCTCTTCAGTCCAACAAGATGGAATTATCAGGGGAGACGTTCTGAAGCAGAGTCAAGATTCCCACTCAGGAGATCTCCATCGGACCTCTCAGGCACACCTTACTTTTATGGTCTTGTGGTTTCAACTGAAACAAGTTGTTCTGCATACTTCCTACTACACAGCTACAGCTATGTGACCTCCCGGTTTCAGTTTGTCAGGACCTTCACTGATAGCTGAGCCCAGAGTGGCTTTTCCCTAAACACTGTAGACCCAGCATTCCACGAAACAGGCCTCAGGCAAGCTTTGCTCAGAGCACCCCGTGGAACCAGGAGCCAACAAACATGTTTTGCCTAGTCCGCAGCCTACTCAAACATCAGCTATAGAGTTTCAAAACAGTACGATTTTAAGGGGGAACGACGTTTATTCTTAACAGACAGCGACAACTTAAGAAAAAGACTTTCCGAGTCAAAAATGGCTCTGCCCATCAGATAGGTCTCATGAGAGAATGCCGATTAGGAAAAAATAAAACAGGTTTTTCCATAGTTATTTTTCAGAGAAAACAGAGATGACCTCGCACACTGCAGAAGTAAACATGACATTTTGGCGCTGAAACTTAGGAGCTCTCCACTAGTCCAATTAACCAGAAATGCAGACATACATATCCTTACCTGCACATATCGCTGCTCTGTGGTTTAGACAGGCTTATTCAACAGCACTAGAAGCACGGAAGTTCAAAATGGCTTGTTCATTCAAAAATAGGTATTGTTGGGCTTTTAAAAGATTAATCTTACAGGGGAGTTTGGGTTATACTACTGAAAGACAATGTGTACCATAAAATATATGTATATACAGGGTTTTTTTTCCTTAGGGAAAAAAATGGCCATATTTAAGATTCAACAGTCAATTTTTAAATAACTATTGAAGCTTTTACAAGAGAGCTATGAACCATATCAACTAAACCTTTGTCTGAATTCACAGACACTAATTTTTCCATTTCTATTATTTCTATAGATGAACACTTCACTCTACTTTCTTCCTTGGAAAAAAATGTTAATTAGGTTTAAAAGCCACAATATAAGGAGGCAATCATTATTACAAAATTAAATCATTTTCCTGTCACATTTATCTAGTAACAGCAGTTTATCCTGATCCACTGAGAGCAAGTTAGATTTATGGGGGAATAATATCTCACAAGAGATTAAAACCAGATTTCTTGAAACCCTACAGTCAGTCATACCTAAACACCAATTTCCATCTAAAACTGAAAAGCAACACCTGTACACATTTTCATCCCCCATTTTCACTTTCTCATCCATACTTTTAAAATAGTGAAAAACAACTCATTTTTTAAAATCAGCCACCATTGACAAGATCATTAGCTTTACAACTTGGTCCTAGGCACTGCTGCCTTCTATATAATTAGAAAGCCTCATCGCTGTCCCACTATCATTTTAATGTAGCAATTATGTCTTAATTCCAAACATAAAAACTATTTTTAAGTAGTAATTCTTTTTACTCTGTAAATTTTAATATAACTTCTAAATTAGCTTTATAAGCATAATGAGTATCCTCACCAACAGCAACCAAACACAACCATGTTGTATAAGCATCAAAATATAACTAAAATATATTTTAGTTCATATAGCGATTTAAAATCAGACCGTGCACGTTATCGATTACCGGCAGCTTCACAGGCACCGTCCCTAAGCTATTTTTTAAGTAGTCTGCTCTGGAAGAAGAACAGAGGAAGGCAGAGATTTTTTCAGTAATCAGGAACTCGCAGTTATTCTTTTCACTTAAGCTAGGAGCCCTAGGTTTAAAACATACATAACATGCCAGCGAAACTTACTTGACAGTGACTCGATTTGATAAATCCTGTAGATCTCCAGGATGGAAAAGCTGGGCTTCTTTCAATCCAATCTGTTCACAAGCTTTCAAAAAAACGTTTATATTATCCTGTGAAAAGAAGTGGAAAGTGATTGCTTAGCCGAGCTCTCTCTCAGGCAAAGGTTACAAAATTTTATGATATAATTTCCAAGCTTCAAAGTCCAATTACAGCCAGAAAAAAAAAAAGAAAGAAAGAAAGGAGGCAGCCAAACCGATGAACACATGTATTAGAAAAAATACATGGGCATGTACAGCCTTTCAGTCTTGCAGAGCATAAACGGTAGTGCTATCTTAAGCCCGGGCATACGCCGCTTCTGTGATCTTTGTGACTGACAGGTTAAACATTACCTGTTATAGGACAAGTGCCTAGCCACTGAGCAGTAATCTACACTTTGATGTCAGCTCTGCTCTGCAAACAAACGCCCTCTTCCCAGCTTTGCACAACAAGCCTCACCTCTCCTCTTTAAAAATAACTCCAGCTGACATTCACCCACCCAGAAACTGTTGGCAGGGAGGAAATAAGAGGAGGAACATTCTGTTTCTATGATTACAAATTACAGAAAGGCTGTGGAATACCACACCTGGAATCTGGGTTTGGTTGCTGAGCCGGCTCTTGACAGACAGGGAAACCACACTATAGGACCCAAGAGAAGCCTCGTGCTCATTGGCTAAATCACATAGTTTAGGTGTGGTACATTGCTCACGCCCTGCACCTGCCTCAGGAACTCCCTCCAGAAAACGAAAATCTAGGCTGTCCTCCCATCTGATTTCAAAACCCAAATCATCCATTCACAAACCAATGCTTTTCGACCCTGAGAACGGCGACCCAGACAACTGGCTACAATATATTCTTTTTTCCGGTCAGGTGCATTTCAGAGACACACATTTGGTGAGCAGAATTAGCTTCAGTTTCCACCTTGACTCCTCTTAAAGGAAACCCTTTCCGGGTTGAACTTGTGATCATCCCATGTGGTCTCTTTACCTTCATGGTGTTAGGGTTTTCAGGCAGAGAACGGCCTCCCCGCATGTCAACACACGTCTGTCCACTTACACAGGCTGGCAACACCCCACCTGTGGTGGGAGCCTCAGAGCCTCCCTGATATCTCACCTCCTTCCCTAACAGCTGGTTGTGAGAAACCACAAGGCACTCTACTACTTGGAGAAAGAAATTACTCTTTTCCCACGTTGAGGGGTTCATCCCCACAGGAAGAAAAGGCAGGGCGTTACAGCCAAGTGGGAGGTAATGATCAAGACAGAAAGATGAACAAGCTAAATTCAACAGCCTGAATTCTTCAGGGGCGGATTTAGGGAGAGCACAAACAAATGTATGGCAAGAGAAAAGCAATCCTGATTGCTAGGAAACCCAAGGACATCAAAAACAAAGTTTTGTTGAGGTGGGAGGTTATTCTAGTGTACTACCAGGAAAAGGCAGCGTAAATTACCTAGTGAAAAGCTGAAATCCATGATTCACTTTAAGTAAGAGGACAAAGATAAAAAGAACTTACAAGTCAAAAGTTGAATAGCTCGATGAAAGGCGTTTAACCTGACCTTATGCAGAAAAAAGGGAAATAATGCATTGGCAAAATTCCAGAGGGAACTAAAGTGATCATTTTATTGGTAAGCTCATATAACTTCAAAAACTATATTATTTGTAATTACCCAATGATTTAAATGAATGGTTCTACTAGTAGCCCTTGGACAAGTAGGCAAGAGTAAATGGTTTGGTATACCAGTATCCCAAATCCTACAAGATGTTAATCTCATATCCAAAAAGGGGAAATAATTTATAAGAAGTCTTCCCACAAATTCAATTTGGTTCTGAGTGTTTAAAATGTTATAAAACACTAAAACAAAGTTAAACTAAAAGTAAACCCACTGAACTGACAGCCAAAATAATTCTCCACATATTTCATAAAAACCTAATGGCATTCATTCAGTTGAAAAATACGTACAGATTGATAAGGATAGATAATCACCCATGCCTCAAAACCCATCCATAGTATTTAGAAAGAAGCCACTTAAAATATAAAGTAACTACACTTTATTGGAGACAAAGAAAAAAATACAATATGGGTAAATTCTACTCATAAAGAAAGTCTTTATATTAAAAAGTGGAATATTTTAAATAGTTCAATGATGCTCAGGTTTAAAACAAACTTCATAAAGACATACATGGCCTGTGAGGCAGGAATAGGTGATACTGAGATCAGAGTTACAACCTAAATCATGCTAACTGGACAGAAGCTCATTGGTAATTTATTTTATGCGATTTCAAAGGACATAGGCAGAGAGTTGCCTAAAGGGAGATATGAAATTATAAAATTGTCATGTTAGTGAAACATCAACAAGAAGCCACACCCAGCTCAACACATTAAAAGGGAAGCATTTAGTTCTCAGTTAATGGAATCATTTTCACTTGAAACTAGCAAAGATAAATAAAAGTAAAAACAAAAGACAAACCTGAAACAAATCGTATCTCATTGGACATATAGCCAGGACTCCAAGTGAGCTCTACCACTAACCAACTCTGTGGCTTTGGAAACATTAGTTAACCTTTCTGGTCCCATTTTCCTCATCTGTGACTAGTTTGTGGATCTGTAATCCATTACCAAGGGCACACACTTCTTTCTCTGCACAGGCAGGGAAGCCCAGCCCTTTCTAGCCAAACCCTTCACACAAATGTTTCATAGCTCAACGTACATAAAATACGTCATGTCGACAGCCTGCTCTAAACATCTGCAATTCCTACACTTGGAGAACCAAGAGTGGCTTCTCCAAAATAAATTCCAAAGAATATGATCCCTGAAGATCTGCAATAGCTCCTTTTAGGTTTAAGTCGTTCCATGACTATGAATAAAAACAGACCTCTATAAACACAAAAAGCAGGGGGACGAAAGATTTGATTTTCATGTTCTCGCCAATCCCCTCTCCACCCCTGGTCTTTGAATCAATTATGAGGGTAGTCCTAAGAGGCATGGGGTGAAGGGGATGAGGGTAAATTAGAGAGAGATTACTGGGTCAGGAACAGCAGCACTTGCTAACAACTAAGGCAAGATGTGGAAGCCACAAAAACTTAAAAAAATGTCCAGATTTACATTAGCCCACTGTAGTATCTCTACCGGTCTTCTACTGCCGCATAGCAAATGATGCCAGAACCTAGCAGCTTGAAACAACAGACACTTAGGATTTCATACAGCTTAGGAAGGTCAGGAATTTGGGAGTGGCCTACATGGGATGGTTGTGGCTTGGGGGTCTCTCAGGTTGCAGATGAAATGTCAGGTGGGGCTGCGGTCAGCTGAAGGCTCTCCAGGGATTTGAAGGAGCAGCTTCCAAGATGACTCATTCAGAAGGCTGTTAAACCGGGGCTGGTTATTGGTAGACAGCCTCAGCTCTTTACAAAACGGACCTCTCCAGAGGGCTGCTTGACAGGGGAATGATCCAAGAGAAAGCAAGATGGCAGCTGCACTGTCTGATGACCTCGCTTTTCCAGTCACTCGCCATCATTTCCTCAGTGTCCTGCTGGTTACATAGCTCAGCCCTAGTCAATGTAAGGACTACACGAGAACATAAATAGCAGGAGGTGAGAATTACTGGGGACCATCTTGGGGACTGGAGGCCACAATTCATTTTCTGGCCCTAATGATTCATGTCCTCCCCACGTGCAAAATACACTAACCCTTCTCAAGACATGGAAAAACTCACATTCCTTTAAAAGGTGAGCTCACAGTCTGGAATCTCACCATCTAATGCAGATCCAGGTGTGCATGAAATGCCTCAGGTAGAGTTCCTTAAGTATAGCCCCAGAGCACAGTTCCTCTCAACTGGAAAGCCAGTGAACTGAAACGACAAGTTACCTGCCCCCACCACACCCAACATACAATAGTGGGACAGGTGTAGGCTGACCATTAATAGAGACACTCCAGGTCAAAATGCAGAGAAATGAATACCACACAGGAATCACTGGTTCGCAGAAATTGTGAAATCCTGCAAGGCATAGATAGGCAGGCCATTTACTAGGATTCCAGGCCAGGGAATACTTTTTTATGGTTTTTTGCTTCATACCCCAGACCCTTGGTTCACCTTAAAAATCATTTTTCCATTTCCTTGAAAAGTAGCCTGCATTTGCAGCAGTGTTAACATTTCTCATTCTGTTTCTTTCTCATAGAAGTTTACTAAAGGTCACTTCATTTTATAGTCCTCTGTCCCTTTCAGTCTAAGTTTACCATGTTTCTGCAAATACAATTCTCTCAGAAATACTCTGTCTCTGTGACTCTTATTGGACTTCATTCCATCAGACAAAAAAAATTAAAAAATTTTTTAAAAAGCCACACCTACAAATCCCTTCAAAAGAAGCCCCTCTCTATCTTGGTCTTCAGAGATGACTGAGGACGTCACCCTAAGCTTCTTAGAAGCCCTGTTGATTGACTAGACAAATCTCCAAGGCACCACTTTGGATCTTTCTAAGATCTCAAAAGAATTCTACAGCCACACCCTCAGCTTCATCTTTAGACTTTGTTTTCCTTCCACTGCTGAATTTGACCTTTGCTTGAAGGCCATTTCTCAGTTCCAGCATCATTTACTGACCAAGGATTCTGATAATTTTCAAAACCAGCAATTCTTGTGCCTCTCATGTTTATCATTCTGTCCTTCATTCTCTCACATTTTACTGTAATCAGCAAGAGGAAGCCAGGCAGCACTTTACCACTTCACTTGGAAATCTTTTCAGATCGCCTGGTTTGTTAGGTACAATTTATAGGTAACAACGGAATAAATATCACGTGAGTATTGGGGCCACTTTAGAGGCTGGCTACAATACTTACATAATGAAGAATAGAGAATAATCATTAATTTGGAGTAGAAAAATCACCTGTTATCCACATCAAGATGTCCAGCTAATAGGAAATTGGGTTCAGAGCTCATTAATAGTATCTGATCTTAAAACATGGTTTGGGAAATCAAGCACATGTTGGTAGTCGTTGAAACTGAGGATGCAGATGAGCCCTCTTTGGAAAAGCAAAGCTACATAAGGATTCACAATCAAACACCAATATTTAAAGGGCAGTTTAAAA